TCAGCTTTCGTAATAAACCCCCCGCTCCATGAGAACGCCTCAAAATCCCCAGACGTGACTGCTGGAAACAATATCTGTATTATTCTAGAGGAATAATACGGTAAATGTTCCCATTCAGTCGAGAGCTGTGTGCAAATCGCGCCTTTTTAATCTGTTATTGCAGCTCTTTCTAAATGCAAACCCTTGTAGTCCCTGCTATGTGGCTTCCCACATAGTTCCTCAAATCGAGGAATATTTCCCCTCTTGAGCCAAACGTGAAGTGCCAAACCTGCGACTGCCTCGGCTTTTCACTGCGCCCGGCACACATCACTCAACGTCAGGCCGTTTCCCACAGCAAATAGGCTTAGAAAGCTTAAAAAAAGACAAGAAAAGAAGAAAGTCCTGTCAAGTTTCTCCACTTGGTTTTGTTCTCTTTTTCCACTTCTGTGTTTTTTTCACCTCCGTATCTATTTGTCCTGTCTTCTTTACTCCTTCTCCCTCCCTCCCTCCGTCCTTCTTTGCACGTCTAACATGTCATTCTTCGTCTTTTGTACCTCTCGGGCCTTTTCCCCAATTGAACTCCCCGCCCTCTCCACTCCTTTGGCTCTCCCTCTCCCTCTCAGGGGCCTAATTATGAGCCGGCATTAAATAAAAACATTTATATTTCTCCAAAAAAAGGCTTCTCTCTTTGCTTTTTCTGGACAATGAGGGCTTGTGATTCCCCCCTCCCTCTCTCTGTCTCTTTTTCCGCTGAGTGGCCATTCACTGGGGGTCTTTGTCTCTCTTTGTGATTGGCTCGCTGCAGGACTCCTAGGGGGCAGTAATTGTGTCTCATTAAGTCTTACAGTAGTCGTGAGGGGAGTGTAGCGGGGTGGGAAGTGAGGGGGAGTTCGTTGCACAAGGCCTCGCAATTAGAAATCCCAGAGAGCTTGAATGGGAGCCCTAATCAGGCCACAATGGCTGGGGCTCCCTGCCTATTAGGCCAAAAAGGAAGTGTTGCCATTGTCCAAACACACACACACACACACACACACACACACACACACACACACACACACACACACACACACACACACACACACACACACACACACACACACACACACACACACACACGACGAGAGCACGACGACACGACGACACGACGAC